AGAACCACTGCACTAGCAGCGCATACACGGTGCCTGTGTGATCTCAACTTAAATGTTCTTCAAATGTCAAATCACAAATCCTTTCTACTTATAAAGTAAACAAAGCCAAGTTAATTTAATGATATTGTTTATTACTCTATTCTGCATGCATATTGAAATTTATCTAAAAAGGCACTGACTGTTTCTCATTGAAATCAATAGTAGGGAAACTCATTCTGTCATAGTACAGCCTTTTCACATGGTCATGGCTACCTCCGTATAGTACACTCAGTGCCATCCACTTGCATAGAAATGTTGAAACTTTCATCAATATCATTCAATTCATATTTATTTTTATAGATAAAATACATTTTTCAGATATAAATCTGTGTCATTAACACTGTTTCCTTTAGACTGATGTCTTTCATTGAGTTATAAATAAACATTTTTATTTTTTAATTCATATATAAATTGAAAAATGTCTCAATTTAAGATCCCATTGGAATTAGTGCTCTTTAAAAATGCTAGATAATGAACATTTCATTTACAGTAAATGGGTATCCATCCCAACAGCTCTGTCTAATTCAGAAGGATCAGAAAAATTCTCCTTCAGATTTGTGTCCTCATGGATCCCACTCTAGCTGCACGTGTGCCCCACGTGCATAAGATTGGAATCTTTAAAAAGCAGTGTCTGTTAGACTACACCTGAACTGTGCACGTCCTTGTGCCCCACATCAAGACATAAAGGGCAGAGCAACTGCACCTGTCCCTCCTTTCCCCCTTACTGTGTGGGGCAGTGAAATGGAACAAGAGGTGTCCTGCTACCGTTACTGGAATCTGCTTCAGTCATGAATTAGCTGGCTGGTTAGGGTTTGCGCTCAACTTTAAATTTTCCACATTATTATTTGAGTTCCATCATAACAACAAAATATGTAAAAACCCCTAAATTTAATTTTTCCATCTATGCAATGCAAAACGCTGGTATCAAAGCCCTCGAGCTTCAAACTGTGTCCCTCCTGTGATAGTCTAATTTCACTCACAGATAGCCACAGCCCTTCTCTATTTTGTCTCACTGAGTGCCACATGTCAGACTGATGCCCAATGTGTTGTTCATTCTCAACAAGAACAAAGTTCACGGTCATGTGTCTGAATAATCCATGAGAGGAAATTCATATCCTGAAGAGCAAGGATCAACTTCCAGGAAATCAAACCTTTTCTAAGGCTCTGTCAGCCAATGTCTCTGCCAGCTGGTGTGCAGCACCTAAGGTTGGAACTGGCATACGTCCTTGGCACCATCAGGCAACGAACTGGCATCAAATACCACCTCACTACTGCTTACCACATCAGCACCAAAGACTGGTACTGCCTCTTCAACAAGGCAAGAAAGGCCCAAACACCAGGATAAGGATGATTCTCAGCACTTATCTCTTTCTTTCCATAAGAAGAAGCACAAACCATTGGAATATCATACAGGAAGATTTGGATGACCTTGAAGCCTGGAGTAACAGAAAAGGGATGAAATTTAATAGTACAAAGTGCAAGGGTCTATAAGAATTTCTGGTACAAGCTGGGGGCTTATCACTTGGAAGTGACAGAGGAGGAGAAAGACCTGGGTGTATGGGTCAATCACAGGATAACTATGAGCCACCAATTTGATGCAGCTGTGAAAAAGGCAAATGTGGTCCTAGGATGTATCAGGCAAGGCATTTCCAGTAGAGATAGAGAAGCGTTAATTCCATTGTACAGGGCACTGTTAAGACCTCATCTGGAATACTGTTTACAGTTCTGGTCACCCTTGTTCAAGAAAGATGAATTCAGACTGGAACAGGTGCAGAGAATTACTAGGACGATCAGAGGAATGGAAGGCCTGTCTTATGGGAGGAGACTGAAAGAGCTTGGTTTGTTTAGCCTAGCAAGAAGAAGGCTGAGTGGGGGTATGGTCGCTCTATATAAATACATTGGCTGGGTGAGAGGGGTAAACAGCAGGGAGGATGAAGAGTTGTTTAAGCTAAAGGTCAGTGTTGGCACAAGAACATTGGGTATAAACTTCAGAGCTCCAGCTGGTTACCTGCAGGGCTCAGAAAAGGATTTTTCCCCCAAGTTAACTGTGTCTCATTGATTTATTGATTTATTTATTTATTTTATTGTCTCCTTCCTCTGATGCATGCAAGATGGCCACAGCTACCATGGCTGTTCCATCCAATTTCAGTCCTTACCTTCCACCCCTCATTCCCCCTCTGTCTTCAGGGACCCTTCTCATGAAAATCAGCTAAAGGAAAAAGTGACTTCTCTGCTTTTGTAGTACCCCTAGAGGAGTTTCTGCTGGAGTGGAGGAGAGAAGCTTCTACTCCCAATATATCTTTATCACTCCCGCTCCAAAAAGGGATCCTAACACAGACCTGAGAAGATTGATCAAATATATGAACTGTTTCAGATTTAGGATGGTAATGCTTGCCTGCATTGTCCCTTCCCATCGGGTTCAACGCTGGTTCATGGCTCAGCTTACAAGACACATGCTTCAGTATTGCCATCCACCCAGCCCACAGGAAGTACTTGCAATTCATAGTAGGGCCCCATCACTATCAATACAAAGTTCTACCATTAGGTGTCTCCACATTACCAAGAGTCTTTACAAAATGCCTAGCTGCACTGGCAGCACATCTGAAGAGACAGGGTATTCACATGTACCCATATGTAGACGATTGGCTGATCCAAGGTAGGGCCCATGAGGAAGTTGCCACAGCTCAGCTCTGAATTATGTCCTTCTTTTATTCAGACAGCCGGGCCTCTTGGTCAGTTTTGAAAAATCATCTCTCAACCAACTAGAAACAATAAATAGAAGCCTTAATTGACTCCAGATCAGCTGAAGCATGTTTCAGAAGACTGATTTATTTATCTTCAGATGATAATTACCAGTATGAAATTGACTCCATCAACTACAGTAAGAAACTTCCTCAGACTTTTGGGCCATGTGTCAGCTTGCACAGATGATGCCGCTAGCCAGACTTCACCTGCATCTATGACAAGGATGGTTGTGGTTGATGTATCACCTTGCAGGATATCAAATGAACATATGGGTTGCTGTCCCTATACACATTTTATCGGCACTGAACTGGTGACCCCAAGAGTGGGGTGCACTTCTCTGCCTCTCCTACACAGACATTGATCATAGATGCATCAGGTACAAGTTGAGGTACACACCTGGATCACCTCCAAATACAAGGGACTTGGTTTCAGAAGGACATGACTCTTCACATAAATGTTCTAAAATTATGAACAATCAGAATAACTTGCATGGCATTCCTGCCTGTTCTGCATAATTCCACAGTACAGTTCCTCACACTCAACACATCTGCAATGCACTATATAAACAAGCAAGAAGGTGCCTTTTAATCACCTCTATCTCAGAAGGCAATCAAGTTATAGACGTGGTGTCAACAACATGGTATTACCCCCATTGCTTTTTATGTGCCAGGAGTCAGGAATAACCCAGTAGACTTCCAAAGCAGACAGTTTATCACCACCCACAAGTGATGTCTGAAGAGCTCCATCATCAAGCCAATATTTCTCTGGTGGGGAAATCTCATTGTAGAATTGATTGGCACCAAAGATAAGACAAAATGCCCAGCCTTTTCTTCTAAGGAGGCATGAACCTGGGATCAGTGCAAAACGCTTTCCTCAGACCGTGGTAGTCAAGGCCTCATGTATGTACACATTTTCACTGATTTGCCCGAGTCCAATCAGGCAAGATGCAGTTGCACTGATCCTGATTGCTCCATATTGGCGAAGACAAGTCTAATTGTAATGGTCAGGGTGTAGGCCGCTGGGCCAGTAGTGTCCACTGGACTGGGGTTGAAGGCAGGAGACAAGACTAGTTACCAAGCCAAGTCAGGAGACAAATACCAGGATCAAACTTGGGGTGGTACTTCCTGTGGTACCTAAACCTCCAGTAATTGTTGGTTGCAGCTTTACTCTCCAGTGATAAGGATATTACAGCCCGCCCTTCATCTCCGCTTTTTCATATTCCTCCTTATTTGGAATTCTGAATTGGTGGCAGAACTGTGGGATGGTTGCAGCAGTTCTGCTCATTATGCCCATGGCAGGGGGCTGGGGAGGCATGAGCACATGTAGGGCACAGACACAGCCCCAGCCCCAGCATACACTGCTTTTTAAACCATGCTGTCACATGGATGGGGACCATGTGGGATCCCCAGAGATGACAACATTGCGAAGAACACCGTTATTATCAGGTCAGTAACCATTCATTCTTCTAGTGGAAATGTTTGGGTGTTGGCAATAACTATAAATTACCTGCTGGATTTGTATACAAGTCTGTCAAAAATGAATCATTTGTTTTTATTTTTATATGTCCCAGGATATATTCTTGCTATTTATCAAAAGGTTTAATCTTTTTTTAAAGATGGATGTCTGTAAAGACAAAGTGACAGTTTGGCAACTGCCAGTCAATCTAATCTCCCCCTCCCCAATATCAGCAGCAAAAGACTGCCTGAGCATGCTAAAGAAATACCCAGTGGCATTGCCAATATCCGTAGTTCTTATGTCACTATCATAGGAAAGTGGGCCTAATGGCTATAAGGGGGCACAGAATGGAAACACATACTCCAAGATTTGAAAAAGGGACTTTTGTCTCCTAATTCAGAATTAAACTCCACAGTTGCCAGGATGTGGAATATCCTGGAAATCAATTCCGTTTTGCTTGGCTCCTGTGATTTTGTAAGTGTGTATGTAAAAGTTGCATTCTGTGATATGTTTCAGAGTAACAGCCGTGTTAGTCTGTATTCGCAAAAAGAAAAGGAGTACTTGTAGCACCTTAGAGACTAACCAATTTGTTAGTCTCTAAGGTGCTACAAGTACTCCTTTTCATTCTGTGATATGCAAGTTTAATGCAATCATTTCATAAGATAAATGAGAATTATGACAGGATTTTTCTAATTTAGCTTCTTTCTTCATTCCTGAACATGACAATAAATAACAGAAAATAAAATTGTTTCTTGTTGCAGTCTTTATCCTCATCTCTACTCAAGAGCATACATTAATTTTAGAAATCCTGATGACATCCTTCTTTTTAGGGATCGCTTTGATGGCTATGTCTTCATTGATAATAAAGGTTAGACTATTTCCATTTTTTTTAAAATCTCAGTGCGACCTGTTTATTACATATTTGATTTTTTCTGGAATTAACACATATAAACCTGTATTCTTTGTAGCACTACAGGACAGTAAGTATTTTGGAAATCTTTACTCAATATAGGTAGTTAATTACATACTAAAACATATAATTAAAAGAGCATCAAGATTGCAAAGTCAAGCACTCAAAAGTTAAGAAATGCCAGATTTAAATTTGACTGGCAATCTTAATTTGGCCCCTTTGTGCATATGACATTGTCTTTATTTACATGATCACATACTTTTTTTCCGTAGGATTCCTGCCCCATTTGGTGCTTAAGATAGTGGTGCTCACCGAGTGGGTAGCTATTCAGTATTTTTGTTTTTTATCCTCATCATTCAGCATGTGGTGACATGCCTTATTTATCACACCATCCAAACCCTATTAATTTCTTCTTGGGCTTGTCTATGAAGCTCATCACCATCGTATCTGAGTGCTTCACAAACATTAATGAATTGATCTTTATGATATGGCTGGGAGATAAGGTGGTATTATTTATCCCATTTTATGCATGGGGAATGGAGGCCAAAATGGTCACGTCTCTACTACTTTTGGATGCCCAATTGGAGCGGCTTATGGCCTTATTTTTCAGAGTACTTAGATTTTATTGCACTTTATATGTTCAGAGCACAGTTCCTATTGGCTTTAGTTGCAGTTGTGACTGCTCAGCACTTTTGCAAATCAGACCTCAGGTATCTCAAGGTGGGTACCAAGAAAATGAGGGGCACACAATTAGTGGACACCTGTGCAAGGCTTGGTTTAGGTGACTTGCCCAACATCACATAGGAACTTTGTGGCACAGGCAGGAATAGAATTTAGTTCTACAACTGCCTTAACTATCAAACCATCCTTTCTCTTCCTGCAGTCCCCTGCCTCTTTCTGTACACTCCTTCCAAATTTGGCAACAAATAAAATGGGTCCTACAGACAACAACCTCAGTCACTGCACATCCCTCATTCCTTCCTTCCTTCTTTCCATCCTGCATGCTGAATGAGGCTGGGGGCCTGTGTATACAATAGTGTGTGATCCTGTTATTGAAGATTGCTATAAGGGGGTCAAATTAAGGTTGTACAGATAACATTGATTCTGGCATTTCCTAACTTTTGAGTGCTTGACTGCAACCTTAATGATCTTGTAATTTAAAGTACCTCTACGCTGCAGCTGGGAGTGTGTCCCAGCTTGGGTAGGCAGGCATGTGCTAGCTGTGTTTGAGCTAGTGCGCTAAAAATAGCAGTGTATCCAGGGGAAGCATGAGTGGCAGCTTGGGTAGCTGTCCAAGTACAGTACTGACTAGGTGGCTTTGTATTCATGCAGCTAGCCCCAGCTGCTGCCCATGCTACCCCTGGCTACACTACTATTTTAGTGCACTAGCTCAAGCAGAGCTAGCGCATCTGTCTTCTCGAGCTGGGAAGCACACTCCTCGCTGTAATGTAGACATACGCTTTGTTTTTTAATGTAGTTTTCTAGGTTTTTAAAAAACCACAGGAAAAAAAACCAAAATCCATGATGTGGAAATCATATTAACCTCCATATCGGTCATCATCAGGGATGGGACCTTTAGATCCACAGCACAGACCTCTACCACTTGAGCCAACTGAGTAACTGTTGGCAATAGTGGACTGTTATCCTGTGTATGGATCAGCCAGTAAAGAGGGATGAGACACTTAATTTGCCATTGGTTTTCATGCTGTTTGCTAGACAGCAAAGGAATGTTGAGATACAGAAATCCTGGGTTCAATTTCAGGGTCTGGAGAGGAGTGTCTTCTAGTGGTTAAAGACTCTTCATATATCTTTGCCCTCAGAGCGTCCCTGTCTCCTGGTGCTCCGATCCCACTGCCCTGTCTCCGCTCTCTGCTCTTATTCCCTTCTTGAGTTCCTGACCCTGTTTCCCTGTGCTTCTGTTCACTCTCCTGACTCTTTCCTATCTGCCCTGCCTCCCCTAGTTCCTGCCCCATCCCTCCCTCTGCTACTAATCTCCTTCTCTTTTTCCACCTTATCTATGGCTCTTGTCCCTGTCCTTACCTGTGTTCCTCTCTCCCCAACTGTTATCCCACCATTCTCCAATTTCTGTCCCTGTTCCACCCCATAGTCCTGTCCCACCTCTCCAGCTATTGTCACCGTCGCCCCTGCTTCCATTCTCCCCCCTACACCCTCTGCTCCTATCTGCTCCTCCCCAGCTCCTGCCCTTGCCCCATCCTGGTTCCTCTTCTCTACCCACCCTGCTGCATTAGAGGGAAGTGGTTTCCTCCTCATCCTGGCTGCCTGCTTGCCATCAGGTGGAGCTCTGAGAACACCGGAGAGACCACCTCTCTGCTCTCAGGTCTGGTGCTGGGTTACACACTGGCCCTGGGAGAGCAATTGCAGGGAAAGTCCCGCTCAACCCCTTCAGCCGTGGGATAGAGCATGCTCACTTACTTGGTGTGGTGGCACATATGCAGTCAGGGAGGAGCTGTCAGGGATAGAATCATAGAATATCAGGGTTGGGAGGGACCTCAGAAGATCATCTAGTCCAACCCCCTGCTCAAAGCAGGACCAATCCCCAATTTTTGCCCCAGATCCCTAAATGGCCCCATCAAGGATTGAACTCACAACCCTGGGTTTAGCAGGCCAATGCTCAAACCACTGAGCTATCCCTCCCCGCATGAGCTATCCCTCCCCGCTCCATGCTCAGTGGAGAGAGCATCTTTGGAGAATTTATCTGCTAAACTCTGACAGTTCTCTACTGAGCACGTACCAACTGAGATATGATAGAGATGTTATTTTGCCAAATTCGGGGGAATTTTCACAGGGATAGCAAAAAGCATATCTCTGGCACAAAGTTAAGCCCCTGCAAAATTTCAAGTCCCTGCTCCAAAGTTGGGAGATGTTAGGGCTTCTCATCAAAACAGTTGTAAGAATATTTTAAACATGACAAAAATTGTATTTTTCCCTCAAGCCAGGTTTCCAGTGAAGTTGGGCAACTTTTGTGTGAACCTGGGCTGATTTATGGTTTTGAGTGCAAAACAGGCAAAACTCAAAAGTTTCACATAGTTTTGACTCGAAATAAATTCCATCTGTTTCATCTCAATTTTTCTTTAACGTTTTTGGGTTTATTCTAACCCCAGAGTTAGAGCGGACTTTATGGACTGAGAACCTATGCAAGTGAAAACAAGAAGGTGACTTGCACAAACTCATGTAAACTAAAATGACTGAGTTTCACACAGCTTTACATGTTGCTAGATTTAAATGGAGATGTCATCCCCTTTGTCATCCCCTCCTAGCAACAAAACTATAGAAATATCTCAGTTGTTTTATGCAGTGTTGTAGCTATATTGGTCTCAGGATATTAGGTAATGTCTTTTATTGGACCAATTTCTGTTATTGAAAGAGATGATCTCTGGGCTTAGCTTTCATATGTCAGTTTGTTAACTCAGTGAAAATCTTTATAGATTTATAGATAGATTTATAGATAGTCAAGCTATGAATGATAAAAGAATGGGTTGATAGTGCAACTGCTGATCTGTTTTAATTATGACATCCTGGTAGGGGTATCAAAATTAATGAAGGGCTGATTTTTGTTCTGATACTTATGACAACAGTATCTGAACTCAAAGTGTGTAATTCAAATACATATTTATTTATTTTACTCTGTAGATATTTCATGGTACTACATGTTACTTATCTCTATCACATGTGTCATTTAATTAGCAATTTAGCATGGGTTTTTCAAAAGCGCATATCACTAACTTCAATGGAAACAGAGTTAGGCCAGTGCTGTATGCTGTTGAAAATCTCACTGTTAAATTACAGATATTTCCCTATCTAAAAATTGAGCATTTGGTCTCTCTCTTAAGGTTTGGAATATCCTGCTGTGGTGGAATTTGCTCCATTCCAAAAGATTTCAAAAAAGAAGCTAAAGAAAAAAGATGCAAAAGCTGGGAGCATTGAGGATGGTAAACCCATTTTCTTGATCTCACGGTGGAAAAGCTACTCTGTTTATTGTTGATAAGATACATACGATAAATAGTTTATTAACTTTTTTTTTCAAAAAATGTTTTCACAGATCCAGAATATAGGAAATTTTTAGAAAGTTACTGTGCCGATGAAGAGAAAATCTGTGCTAATCCTGAGACTCTGTTGGGAGAGATTGAGGCAAAAACAAGGGAACTTATTGGTCTGTTTTGTTGACTTTTTTCCTCATTATTGATCATTTAAAAATATGCTTTTTCATATTTTTGGGATACTACCAGCAGGATCTCTCCCATTCAGCCTGGCAGTGGTTGAGAGTATATTTATATTCTCATTCTCCATTGGAGTAATGCCTACAGCCACCTCATGTGGCACGCTTCTGCATGTATGGAACTCACATGTTCTGTATATACAGTGGCTTCAGAAACTGGTCCTTAGTATTTATAAAGGAATAGTCTATGAGTTTATTGTTGAAAGATGGTAGAAGGGCAAAAAATGATAACCCAAAATGAAAGAAAGGATAAGATCCTCAATACTGTACTCAAGCTCTTTCATGATCCTGGGTGCCTGCCAGGTGAAAGGTAAAATACCCTATCAAGATCATCTGGGGGCAGCCTGAAAAATAAACCTTGAACTAAACCTTGTTTATATAGGCAGAATGACTTTCACATTCTCCAGCAGGATCTGTATCCATCAGATCAAGCTTGAGCTCTTCAGGATTAAAGTATATTGGGTTTCATTCTTCAGGTTTCAACCATGTGAACATTATTAATAATACATATATTTACATAGTTCACGGGGTACGGCAAAGCAAAAAAACAATTTATGTATTTATGCCCTTTCCTGCTCCATTACTATATAAAAATAGTCTAATTTTTTCCCTTTGGCAATTCAGCTTTAAAAAAAACCAAAAAAACAAAACAAAACACTGTTGGATTTACTTTAGAGATTAGCCTTTTGATTAGTACTTTTCACTGCTATGCTGAAAACCCAGATTTAATTCTCACCCTTAGTTTCTGGTCCTAGGAAGGGGTAGTTGTTAAGTAATGCGAGGTATTCCTAATCCTTAGCACCACAGGAAAATCCAAGAGTGCGGATCAAATCTGGATCTCCTGCATGGCACTAACCATTTAGCTAGTTGCTAGAGTCAGGCCAGCAGGTTTTTTGGGGACATGGGGGAGGGTTGTTTTTTTGATAGGTGAACTGCCAAAGGAAAATGAAGCTGTTTTTACAGAGTATAGAGGAGCAGGAAAGGGTATAAGCACAAATTTTAAGTAAAAGTGTTGCAGGCGTTGCCCTCTAGTGATTTAAGGAGTATTATTGATAGACACAAAGGGAACCAGTCCTCTTTAGTCCTCAGCTGAAAGGAGAGTGACTGATGACAGCCCTTGCTTTGATTGAGGCTCAATAAAAATGGGAAGCTACACCCCCCAGGACACCGACACAGACAGAGAGAGGACCTGGGGCAGGAAAGGACCATTTTTATTCAAAACTTGCAATTCTGATTAAAAATAAGCTTTTATTTTTTTCACAAACCCTCTAGTAATATTATTATTTTATACTGCATACTATAACTATTTCAAAATATTTTTTAATCTTGACAATACTGGCATTTTTCAGATGGCCAGCCAAATAAAGTCTTTGCAGGATAACATGATATATGTGTCCACATCTCCAAGGGACTGCATACAGAACATATGATTGTCCACTGGCTGTTATAATCAATTAGGAGAAATTTAGCTGTACGCCGTTCCCTTATTTGGATATATAAAAATAACCAATATATTTTGATCACTACTGTTTCTTAAATTGCCCATACTTTCCCCCCTCCTCATACGTCCCCCCGGCACTCTCACTGCAGCAGTGGCATTGACACTTGCTTGTGTAGTAGGTGTGTGAGTTAACAATTGGCAAAGGGATATTTGGAGCTCAGCAAAGGGTAAGGATAAATTAGAGAAGAGGTGGAAAGAATATTACTAAGGACACTAAATAAATCTGTCATCAACAAAGCTTGAATGTGTGTGACTGTTATAGATGTGGAGTTCCTCAAGAATATGTATCCTTACTTGACCGGAAGCTTTCCCTAGATATTTCACAGCAATGTGAAAATGAGCTTCCCAGTATCTTAATAAAGATTTTCTAACTTCAAATTATTCCAGCTATTAATGAAAAAGGGGTAGCCTTAGAGTTGCAAGTGCAGTGTTGACAGTATCTCAGTTGAGGGAGGTTCTACAGAATGGCTTTTTAATGTTTTGTTTCTATGAAATCAATTCACAATAGATCAAATTAAATTGTCCTATGTTTATTTTGCTTTATTTTTTTCAAATACTGTATTGTTGTTTGATAAAACATGGTTGCAATTTCAATGTCAAAACCAAGAAAAAACTTATTCCGTGAATATCACAGCTCTAGTTGAATTGTACAAGGGCCCAGCTATGCCTTAAGAAACAAGGGTGTAACTCTCATTGAAGTCAGTGAAAGATATGGACATGTATCAGAGAGCAGAACTGGGCCTCAAATTCTCAAAGGGCTTTTGTGTGCCTCCAGGTCATGTTAGATCAAATGAGCATGTTTGATATCTCAGCTCAGATACTCTAGCTCATCAGTTTCAGGGTGACAGAGTAATGTAATACAGAATTCAAAAGCAGAATTTCTTTAACAAAATTAAGGTAGGTTCATCCTTCTGTCCATGTTTTTAGGGAAGAAAGAAAAAATTAAAAGCTGTTGCTTGCATAGAGATCCCTTTTTTGTTTTCATTTTTCAGCTGATTTCTTTTTAAGAGTTCGTTCATGTTTTTAAAAAAGTGTCTAAATTGCACTCACAATTTTGTAAATAAATAATTCAGTAACAGTTACACTGTAATTAGTAATGTCTACATTCACATATTTTCAGGACATAAATTTAGGCCAGGTTTAGGCCATGTTGTTTTAAATTTTAAAGGTTAGATAAATGAAACCATAGCGTCAAGGAAATATCCTTTTCCAACTCTGTTTTATTATGGCTTCAAAATTATATCATGCACACTAATGGCCATTCCATCCCTCCCTCCCTCCTTCCCCCTTTGTGTTTGCTTTTCTTCCTTTGGATTCAGTGAGAGCCCTGTACATGCATCCAAGAGCAGTCCTTAGTCCTAAATATTGTCCAATATTATAATTCTGTTCCTGCACATCTAAAACTGACAGAGGATCTCAAACATTTTTGTAGCTACTTATGCCTATAAGTATACTGTTTCAAGTTTCAACCCACAATTAATTTTATGACTGGGTGAAAATTCAGAGTTGTAATTGGAGGTGGCATGCAAGCTGCAAAGTTTGGATCTAGCTAAACATTTTTGTAAAGTTTGGGAATGTTCCGATGTAGGGTTTTAGTTTGGGTTTATCTCTAGTAAAAATGGAAAAAGTGTCAGATCCATATAATAAGAAAGACAGTTTGACGTAGTACATACTGGGACTGAGTTGAGTTGGGACTGAGAGCTGAGTTCTTTTCTTGATTCTGCTATTGCCTGCTGTGTTACCTTAGACTAGTCATTTCACCTCTATGTGCCTCATTTTCCCCATCAGGAAAATGAGGATGTTGATACTACCTTTGTAAATGCTTTGAGGTCTGTGGATGAAAAGTGCTATATATGACCATGGTGATGGTAATATAAGAATAGCTGGACAGCCAGGTGCTGGTGTACCAATGTTAAAATTTAGGAATAAATTTTGAACATATTTGTTTCCTTTTCATAAATAATATTTTGGTGAACAGCAGGAAAAATGTCTTTCCTGAAAATTAAAGTATATGGTTATAATTCAAACATTAAATAATCACAGAAAATATCTCTGGCTCTCTTACTTCTAGGGTCCTTAATGTTGAAGAGCCAGGGATCCTTTCTGAATGGAGAGATGGGAGCACTTTCCAACATATATACACCACTTGAAACAAAGTGTTATATATCACCTAGCTCCCTTACAGTTAAAGCTTAAAATAAAGGGCAAGTAGTTATAACAAAGAAACAAGTACATATTTTAGGAGTTGAACACTACATCACAAATTTTTTGTATTTTAGCTAGAAGAACAACACCTCTTTTGGAATATATTAAAAATAGAAAATTAGAAAAGCAGGTAGGTCCAGACTTTTGACTGAAGCTCAACTTTTATGTTTCAAGTATGTTTTGCATTTGAAAAATTTTATATAAAAAATGTTGTAATTCTTCAGAGGATACGTGAAGAAAAAAGGGAAGAACGAAGAAGGAGAGAGTTAGAAAAGAAACGTCTGCGAGAAGAAGAGAAAAGAAAGCGCAGAGAAGAAGAAAGACGTAAAAGAAAAGAAGCAGAGAAGCAAAAGAAAATTGCTGAAAAAGAAATAAGAATCAAGGTACTTTTAAGGAAAATATAAAATTATTCTTCATTTGAAACTATACAGAATTTATTTTCCTGTCTCCCACTTACTTCCAAAGTACTCATATCAGTTGGGAAGAATAAAGGAAGATCTAACTCAGGTCCCATGATTAGAAGTTTGTCAAGGCAGGGACAATTGGGATTATAGGATTTTTTAATATCCCTTTTTTGAACTACAGTTTTTCTGATTTTGTTCCTCTAACTTTGCTTTTTGCTCATATTGTAGCTATGTTGAGGAGTCCCAGCATGAAGGTTGAAAGACTTCTGGATTACTGCAGTAATTTTCCGCGACAGAGTGCTTGTGCTTGCAATATGCCACACGTTTTTTTCTGTTATCCATGATCTCAGAGTTCTTTACCACCTCTTGTTGACCAGGGGCCAGATTAATCTGTGGTGTAACTCCATTGGCGTCAGTGGAGTTACACCTTGGATGAGTTTGGTTAGAACCCCCACTAATCTAAAATCTGAGTTTCCCCCTTGACAGCGGAATGATCCGTTTGTGGATCCATTAGCTTTGCCCTCTGAAACACTCTTTAGACCAGTGGTTCCCAAACTTGTTCCGCCGCTTGTGCAGGAAAAGTCCTTGGCGGGCCAGGCCGGTTTGTTTACCTGCCGCCTCCGCAGGTTTGGCCGATCGCAGCTCCCAGTAGCCGCGGTTCGCTGCTCCAGGCCAATGGGAGCTGCTGGAAGCGGTGGCCAGTACGTCCCTCGGCCCATGCCAAGAACGGGCATTCGCATATCACTGTTGTATCCGGCGTTGCAAGATATTTACGTGCCAGATGCATTAAGGATTCATGTGTCCCTTCATGCTTCAAACACCATTCCAGGGGACATGTGTCCATGCTGATGATGGGTTCTGCTCGATAACAATCCAAAGCAGTGTGGACCAACACATGCTCATTTTCATTATCTGAGTCAGATGCCACCAGCAGAAGGTTGATTTTCTTTTATGGTGGTTCAGGTTCGTAGTTTCCACATTGGAGTGTTGCTCTTTTAAGACTTCTGAAAGGATGCTTCATACCTCATCCCTCTCAGATTTTGGACGGCACTTCAGATTCTTAAACCTTGGGTCGGGTGCTATAGCTATCTTTAGAAATCTCACATTGATACCTTCTTCGCATTTTGTGAAATCTGCAGTGAAAGTGTTCTTAAAATAAACAACATGTGCTGGGTTATCATCTGAGACTGCTATAACATGAAATATATGGCAGAATGCGGGTAAAACAAAGCGGGGACATACAGTTCTCCTCAAGGAGTTCAGTCACAAATTTAATGAATGCATTATTTTTTTAGCAAGCGTCATCAGCATGGAAGCATGTCCTCTGGAATAGTGGCCGAAGCATGAAGGGGCATATGAATGTTTAGCATATATAGCACGTAAATATCTTGCAATGCCAGCTACAGAAGTGCCACGCAAATAAATGCCTGTTCTCACTTTCTGGTGACATTGTAAATAAGAAGGGGGCAGCATTATCTCCTGTAAATGTAAACAAACTTGTTTGTCTTAGCGATTGGCTGAACAAGAAGTAGGACTGAGTGGTCTTGTAGACTCTAAAGTTTTACATTGTTTTGTTTTTGAGTGCAGTTATGTAACCAAAAAAAAATCTACATTTGTAAGTTGCATTTTTACAACAAAGAGATTGCACTACAGTAGTTGAATGGGGTGAATTGAAAAATACTATTTCTAATAAAAATAATACACACTTTGATTTCAATTACAACACAGAATACAATATATATGAAAATGTAGAAAAACATTCAAAATGTTTAATAAATTTCAATTGGTTTAATAGTGTGATTAAAACTGTGATTAATCGTTATTAATTTTTTTTAATTGTGATTAATTTTTTGAGTTAATCGCATGAGTTAACTGCGATTAATCAACAGCCCTATTTATTTCCGATATAAAATCGATATTATTATTATATTTTATTATATTGGGTCTCTTTCTAAAAAAATTATTTTAATATAAGTTTATTTTCACATAACTCTCAACATGAGTTATGGTCTCGTTAACTACATGGTATTCAGCAAAAAGAATGAATGAAATATTGCACCCAATATGACTAACACAACTGATATTAGATTCCAATTGTAAGCAGAGGAATTAGGGACGTATAATAGACTTTACATGTACTGAAAAGATATTTTTAAGTTTAATTGTATGAACTTACATATGTTGACTTACAGCTCTCCATAGTAGTACAATATTCTGATTTAACATAAGTATACAAATAAGTTACGATTGTACCAGTATTTTGTATTTTTCTTTAAGATAAAAATAAAAAAAATAGTTAAGAAACATACATTACAACAATTAGGGCCTAAAACTGTAACACCAAAGCTGTGGTTACCAAATTGCACTGTTCTTTCCAATACATGTCTAAGATTAATAGATAATGGCTACATCCATATTTTATGCTATTAATCAGTCCAGCCATGAAAAGCCTTATTTCTAAGAATTAAAGGTAATGGAAAGAACTAGTCACATGACTAAGGTTTGCAGGATTGGGACCAAAGTTTATAGGGTGCTTTGAAGACATAACTTGGTATATAATTAATAATATGCATGTTTGGGCAACAAGACAAGAAACACATTCTTCATCTTCACATGCCAAGAAAAGGAAAATCACTATCCACTCCAAAATGTGTTGTGCAAAAGTAATTCAATATTACTCATATCTATGACAATAGAGTTTTGAAAGGTAGTTTCACCACCAAAGGACCAGGAAAATATTCTCTATTTTACAAGTAACTTGGGAAGTCATAAGAGGAATGTCACCATGTTGGATATTAGACAGACAAGGTGGGTGAGGTAATATCTTTTATTGTACCAACTTCTGTAGGGGAAAGAGACCCGCTTTCAAGTTTACACACAGCTCTTTTCATGTCTGGGAAACATCCTCAGAGTGTCACAGTTAAATATAAGGTGAAACAGATTGTATAGCATAAGTAGTTAACACGTATTTCAAGAGGACCATTCAAGGTGAAGTGCCCTGTTACCTCCCCTGCGGTCATATGGGGGAAAGGGTGGGATGTGTGGGAGGTTGTTAGCGGGTTATAGATTGTTGTAATAAGCCATAAATCCAATGTCTTTATTCAGGCCATGATTTTTAGTGTCTACCAAAGTTATGAATTTAAGCTCCAAGGCTTGTCTTCTGAAAGTGTTGTGCGAGTTTCCTTTGAGGATGGCAGCTGGTAGGCCAGATATAGAGTGATTGCTTTGTGAAAAGTGTTCACTCACAGATGATACGGTGTTTTTGTCTTTTATCATTTTCCTGTGCGAGTTCATTTGAGAGCATAGTGATTGGTTTCACCCACATAGTTGTTACTGGGGGCAATATATACTAACTAGTATTTCTCAAGCTGCTCATGTGTTGCCAGATTTTGTAAATTATCTAGAGAAGTGAAGGGTGATCCTGCTTTCTTTGAAGTATTATGGCAGTTTTGCTGTTGATTTCAATGATAGTAAGATCGGGCCCTCTCAGGATATGATTTAGACACATACAGTCTTTTGCCTGTCTCTGAGCTACACTGTAATTATTTATAGCTAATACCTAGGCAAAGAAAGTGGGTAAGCATGCATTCTCCAGGTTTTTTTTTATGAAGTCCTATTTTAAAGGTTGCAGCTGCATGATTTGTATTGTACTCTAGTTATCCATTAATATAAGTAAACTTTTAAATGTCTATTTTAATGTTGTGCTTTGCAAAAAAATGAAATCACTAAAATAAAATCTGAATGAAATAGGTTTTGCAAATTAGCACCAGCTGGTATACATTAGTATATTACAATAAGAAGTCGTTGAATATATATACTTGATATATACTTGATATATATCTTAATATAAACATAATTTCATAGCTTCTTAAAAAGCCTGAAAAGGGAGATGACCTGGCCAGTGAAATGAATAAGGAAAAAGGAGAAGAAGCTGATATTGAAGAAAGCAAATGGGAAAAATCACCTGGATCCGGGAGTATAAAATCCAAGCCATTGGAGGGCTCACCAAAGGAACTTAAGGAAAAGTAAGTACTGTTTATCTGGTAAGGTTGCAACTTGGATCCTTGGATTTTGAGGTCTTAGGTGATACTTAAGTGATGCATTGTCCTTGTGCTGGTTCTCATCACAGGGATGGATTTTGCTCTGGGAATGTGGCCATCTACATCTTTTTCTCTAAGTTTTCCTATTTGTAAAATGGATGTAGTAACAACTTACCTCCCTGAAAGGGATATTGCAAGGCATAAGTAATTAATGTCTGTACAGTGCTTTTGAGATCCTTGAGCCCCCCTTGAGAGTGGTCAGTCAGTGGATCTGTGACATTTCTGTGACCTCTCTCACCCCAATCTCTGCAGCAGCCCAGAAGGAGCAGCTGTGTAGCTGGGCTTCACAGCAGGTAGTGGGATGAGCACCTTCCAGTGTTGCCAACTCTTGGGTTTTTTTTCATGAATGATGGGATTTCAGATAGGGGTGGAGCTTGTCTTATGATGAAGCAGAAAGCTCCAGTCTCCTCACAAAATGCAGCTCTGCAGAAGCTCTCCTTTCCTTTTGCTGTTTTTGCAGGAGGGGAGAGGAGAGGAGGCAGCAAAAAGCTCAGCAGCCCATTGCAGCTTGACCACCTCCTCTCCCTTCCCCTACTGTGAGCAATGGGGATCTCATCCCCACTCCCCCTGCAACACCTAGCCTGGAAAGGGGCAGAGAAGGGTGAGGAGCCCCTGGAGCTGCCCCTCCAGCCTGGAAGGGGGACAGGGGACCCTGTGTCAGCCCCCACCCCAGGCCTGGGAGAAGTGGGTGAAGAACTTAAGAGGAGCAGAGGTGAGGCTGGTGATGGGAGGGAACTGAACTGGGAGAGGCTGAACTGATGGTGGAGGCTGGGGAATTGTGCTCTGGGGCTAGTTCTGAACTGACTGTGGAGGCTGGGGGACTGAACTGAGGAGGTGAAGACTGATGGGGGCTGACCTGGCGGGGGAAGGGTTGATGCAGGAGCTGAACTATTGGGGGTGAGGGCTTGGTGGGGACAGAACTGATGGGAAGATTCGGAGACAGAATTAATTGCTGGGCAGGGGACTGGAAGCTGTAGGTGTCAAAATCACCTTACCCAAAAATCTGGGAGAGTGAGCAACACTGAATGTCACATACACATACAGGAATGGGTAGGGAGAGCTCAACCATCAAAAGACAAACCAAAAAACTACAGTATAATCTTTTTAAAGAAAACTCAGGATTTTTGGGGGGGGTCTGACTCATAATATTTTGATCTCTTGCGGTTGGCAATGCTGCACCTCTTACAAATATTTCCAGCATTTTGTGCTTCATTGCAAGCAGGTTACAGAGCAGGATTGACCCCTAAGACAGACATATCGCTAAGGTTTATATGCTAGGAGAGATCATTGAAATTTTACACTTCTGCAGTGCTTTTCAACAAAGGGTCTCAGAGTGCTTTGCAAGCATGAAAAAATGAGTCTCGGAACATTCGTATGGAGGTAAGCCACTATTAAATCTATTTTACAGATGGACAAACTGGATCAGAGAGAGCTTAAGGTGTCACAGTGAGTCAGAAGAGTGAAAATTAAATTCTAGAAGTCTTGACTCCCACTTCCCTGCTCTAGTCTAATAACATATGTATTACTCTGACCCACATGGTAGTCTTCTAAAGTTTTCTATCGAGCAGTATGCAGGGAAGTGCAAATGTAACTTTACCACTTGTATTTTTAGGGATGTACTTCTTGGAGATGCAGAGCAAGAAATTTTCTTGTAACGGCAGATAGAAAAGTAGAGAGAATTTGTTCAATGATTAGAAAATACAAATGTTGAACTAACTAGCTTAAGAAATGGTACATCATTAACATCCTACATGTTTTAATAATGCCTAGCTCTGATGTAGCACTTTTCATCCATTGATCTCAAAGCTCTTTACAAAGTAGGTGAATGTCATTATCTTTGTTTTATAGATGGGGAAACAGAGGCTCAGAGAGATGAAAATTATTTTCCCCACGTTACTCAGCAGAAATAGAACTCTGTCGCCTGAGTCCCAGTCTAGTGCTCTATCAAGGCCCTTCATTTTTTAATTTAAATTTTAATTTACTGAAAAATCCCCTGGTTTCAGTAAAGTTATTATTCATTTTTTTACCAATTTTCACCTGGTTTTTGGACCACTCAAGTACATAAAAATACTAACTGTTAAGAAAATCCAATACTTTACATTAGGTAGATGTGTTTATGTTAATAATAAATTAACCTAAATGCGAGGGTGTCTGTTAAAGTAAGGCAGTGTAGTGGACTATACACACTCATGTATGTGCACGCATATATCTGTACTCTAGTCCTAAAAAAGGAAGTGCTGGAACTCCCTAGATGTGGCTCCCTGCTTCGGAACAAGAGCTGGTGGCTCAGTAACCTGGGAAGCCATCTCTCTTTCTGAAGTAGGAGCCAGATCAGAAATACTCTTACTTTTCTCTTTTTGTTGTTGTTTTTTTTTCTGTCCTCCCATCCCCGAATATTAATACTGATATTTACCCAGAAAACTGTGCTCAGATTTTTTGCACCAATTTTCACCTGTTTTGTAATTTTTGCAATAAACACTGATAAATTCCTGGGAAATTTTAAACAAAATAAAAACCAAAAATGAAGGGCCTTGTCTATTAAGAAGGCCGCACTGCCTCCTTATTATTATCTTTGGTAAAGGTTTCAGATATCTGGTTCAATCCTCTAAGGTGCTGAGCATCTCTTGAGAGATAATAAAAATCTTACCTCCTGCTGCTTACTAGGAATTGAGGGCACTCAGCAGCTCTCAGCAGATACTTAGCATCTTGCAGGATTAAATCTATTATTTGAGAATAAGGCTTGTATTGCAGGGCTGGAGCTACAGGCACCAACTCTCCAATGTGCCGGGGGAGGAGGGTGCTCACTGCTCAACCCCTGACTCTGCCACAGGCCCTACCCCTACTTCACCCTTTCCCTCAAGGCCCTCTCCTTCCTGCCCCGTTCCCTGAGCCTGCCACACCCTCAGTCCTCCCCCTCCCCCCAGAGCCACTTGCATGCTTCAGGAGGCATGGGGAAGGAGGGGGAGGCGCTGATCAGCAGGGCTGCTGGAAGGCAGGGGGAGCTGATGGCGGGTTGCGGATGTATTACTGTGGCTCTTTGGCAATGTACATAGGTAAATTCTGGCTCCTTCTCAGGTGCAGGTTGGCCACCCCTGGCTTGTATGTCTTAATCCTTTGGCAGAGCAACATAACATTTACAACAGACCCTTTGTGTGCATTAATTTAGTGTTTCAGGTGTAACGCAGCATTCTTCAGGCTGTACAGGTATAGTACATTTTACCTTTTTCTTTCTGAGTGCTTTTTAAATTGTGATGAATGGTGCCGTTTGCCAAGTAATTGGCTATGATCTACTTCAGTTGATTCAGCGTGGTAGCTGTGTTAGTCTGTATCAGCAAAAACAATGAGGAGTCCTTGTGGCACCTTAGAGACTAACAAATTTATTTGGGCATAAGCTTTCGTGGGCTAAAACCGACTTTATGAGATGCCTGGAGTAGAAAATACAGTAGAGAGGTATAAATACACAGCATATGAAGAGATGGGAGTTGCCGCACCAAGTGGGGGGGTCAGTGCGAACGAGCCAATTCAATTAAGATGGAAGTGGGCTATTCTCAACAGTTGACAAGAAGGGAGGAAAAATCACTTTTGTAGTGCTAATGAGTTCAATGTAATAAAGTATCAGAGGGGTATTCATGTTAGTCTGGATCTGTAAAGGTGGCAAAGAGTCCTGTGGCTACTGGATCATCCGATGAAGTGGGTATTCACCCACGAAAGCTTATCCTCCAGTACATCTGTTAGTCTATAAGGTGCCACAGGACTCTTTGCCACTTTTAATGTAATCAAGGTGGCCCATTTCAAACAGTTGACAAGAAGGTGTGAGTATCAGTAGGGGGAAAATTAGTTTTTGTAGTGACCCGTCCACTCCCAGTCTTTATTCAGGCCTAATTTGATGGTGTCCAGTTTGCAAATTAATTCCAGTTCTGAAGATTCTCATTGGAGTCTGTTTTTGTTCACTCTACACCTGATGTGCTGGGACTACCTCTGAGCCCATTATCCCTGGCAGCTTGGGACTTCAGTAGCCTGTCTTGTTGAGCCAGACACTCTAACCTGCTGCAAACACAGACCAAGATCTGAACCACGTCCCCCAAAAGCCGCAGACTTAACTGAAAACAGCTTAAGAAGTGCTTCTGTCTCTAGCACCCGGATACCCAATTCCCAATGGGATCCAAACCCCAAATAAATCCGTTTTACTCTGTATAAAGCTTATACAGGGTAAACTCATACATTGTCCACCCTCTATAACACTGATTGAGAGATATGCACAGCTGTTTGCTCCCCCAGGAATTAATTACTTACTCTGGGTTAATTTATAAGCAAAAGTGATGTTATTAAATATAAAAAGTAGGATTTAAGTGGTTCCAAGTAATAACAGACAGAACAAAGTAAGTCACCAAGTAAAATAAAGCAAAACACGCAAGTCTAAGCCTAATACATTTAAGAAACTGGTTACAGATGAAATCGCACCCTTAAAGATGTTTCAGTAAGCTTCTTTCACAGACTGGACTCCTTCCTAGTCTGGACCCAATCCTTTCCTCTGGTACAGTTTGTTAGTTCCAACAGGCATCTTAGGTGAAAAGCAGGGGATTTCACATGACTGCAGCCTCCTTTGTTCTGGTCCACCCCCTTTTATAGCTTTGGCACAAGGCAGGAATGTTTTGTCTCTCTGGGTCCCCACCCCTCCTTCTAAATGGAAAAGCACCAGGTTTAAGATGGATTCCAGTACCAGGTGACATGATCACATGTCCTGTGAGACCTCAAGCCTTCATTCTTCCTGGCCTGCCTCACAGGAAGGCTTGCAAGTAAACAGAGCCATCTACAGTCAATTTTCCTGGTTAATGGGAGCCATCAAGATTCCAGGCTACCATTAATGGCCCACACTTTGCATAATTACAATAGGACTTCAGAGTTATATTTTATATTTCTAGTTTCAGATACAAAATGATACATGTATACAAATAGGATGAACATACTCAGTAGATTATAAGCTTTGTAATGATACCTTACAAGAGACCTTTTGCATGAAGCATATTCCAGTTACAGTATATTCACACTCATTAGCATATTTTCAAAAAAATCATATCGAGTGCAACATCACAACCTGCTCCTTACAATGGATTCTTTACAAAGCTACACCAGCCACTACTGAGCTTGAATTTGCTCTCCCCATCTGCTGCCATCCTATGAGCCATCTTTAGGCAAATCCACCCTGCCAACTTCATTCCTGCGGCATTTCTAATTGAGGCTTTCTCTGTGGTTGGTAATGGGCAGAGTAGGAAGCAGGGTGCCAAGTAGATTCTGCAGGAGCTAACCTAAAAGTGTTCTTCCAGCTTATGGTAAGGGTCATGCAGATTGAAGTGTTCTCCCAAACTTTGTTGGGAGTTCAGGCTCTTCATGGAGTTAGTGCCTACAGTTACACATTTTCACTTAAAAGCTGAAAAGGTAGAGGAAAACTAAATAGGCATGATTAGTCAGATCCTGGAGAGCTAAAGTAATATTTACTGGTAATATACATATTTAGAAGTATATGCCACTGTTTTAATATTTCTGTAATTGGGAAAGGTTCTGGTATGACCCAGTGAGAGCTGCCATTTTCCTTCCATTCAGGAAGTGTAATATGCTGACACAGGGCCCAGTCCTGCGAACTGCTGAGCAACCTCAATTAACATTGACTTTCTATTGCTGGTACTCAGCAATTTGCAGGTGTGGCTCCCCCCCTTTTTTAAATAAAGGAAGTGCCAATCAGCAGATAATTACATGGCAGAGGCTGAAGACTTTCACTGTTTCATGACTTACAAGGAAAAAATGATGTGGAAAACAGAAGAATTGTCATATTCAACAAAGTTAATGAACAAACAGGTGCTAATAAACAATAATAAAAAAGTGACAAATCTCCAGACTCATCCGGATATTTTGTCTGCTGATTAGCATTTCCTTTGTCACAAGCTAAAATGTCAGTGGCTGGCAAAATTGTATATTCCTGTTTAAATTTGAATTACTTTTTATTTCATATAATAAAAGTTTGAAATAACTACTGTGTATTTACTCTTTTTTATAATTAGATGAAATTATTCTGCAATCTTTTCCATACTGTTTTATGAGGGAGCTATCTGATTATTGAACAAGAGCAATGAGATGAATAAAAGTGCAGAGAACTGTATCATCTTAACAGCAAAATGTTGCAAACAGTTTATTTATAATATAAATTACTTAGTACATAATATAAATTAAGTACCATGTTGTGAAAAGATCATGTTTTTTCACCTAAATAAAAATGCAATGGTGGGGTTACATCACCTAGGCACACAAATGTAAGTGAAGGCTGGAGCAGCAGGATTAACTCTGACTGGTTTAATGCCTTCCATCTGTTGCAAGGGCTGTGAATAATTTCTGTTAAATGGAGCCAAAAAATTAAGGCCTTGAGCCTGCAAGTTACTTTATGCCATTAGTGCTCCCTCTGAAGTCTGTGAGATTACTCACATGCTCAAGTCTTTGCATGGTCAGTCTCCTAGGGCCTGATCCTGTAACCCTTACTTATGTGTACCATTAACATCAAGAGCATTATTTATGTGATGTTTTCAAATATGAGTAAGGGTTGCAGGATGATCTTCAAAGCAGTTCTGAAGTCAATCTGATTTTCTTTTCAAGCCAGTGGAAAAATTTTCTGCTTCCAATTGAACTGAGTGCACAATGGGGAGCTGAATTTATGATGTACAAAGCCTGTATCAAAATTGCAATGCACCTCTTCTTTTAATTGAAAATATAGCCTGTCTGGGGGCCTGATCTAAAGCTTGTTGAAGTCAGTGAGAGTCTTTCTGTTGGTTTCAGTGGCCTTTGAATCTTTGTGAGCAAAGATTTTGTCTAAGTTAATTGTTTGTTTGTTTTTTCTTGTTTAAACACACATAGGTCACAGAATGATAGTGATAAAGAGCAAATGGATTTGGAGAGAAGATTTCGAGAAAAAGACCTTGAAAGACCAAGATATCGGTTGGATGATGGCAGAAAGCATAGAGCTCACTATGAATTTGACAAGTTTGTGAGAAGGAATGAAGAAGAGCTGAAATGGGGGAAAGCATACAGCCAAGACAGAGGGAAGAAAGGGAACCACAACTACAGCTTCACTGTGGAGGCCGTAGACAAACTGGGTAAAGAGGACAAGTGTGATGACATGGCATCCAAAAAGGAGCGCATAAGAAATAAGGTTCTTTTATTCATTTAGGATAATCTTTCATTAGTAAAATATACCTCAAGGCTACAGGTTTTATTTTTGCAATCTCAGCATAAAGATGCTTTTTTCAAGAAAAGCAATTCTTTATTTGATTTTCAGTAAAACCCAGATTTCTATTTTTTTTACATAGTTAAAATGATTTAAGGAGATAGGATTTGTCTGCTCTGGTCATATATACATACAATATTTGGAATCTTCCTTAGAACATTAGTCTTGGAAGCTCAGCATTTTTTGAGTGTTTTAAAAGTTATATCACGTGTGCCCTATAATAGATAGGGCCCTACCAAATTCACAGCCATGAAAAACACGTCCTGGATCGTGAAATCTGGTCTCCCCCCTTCAGTCTGATCTTTTGTGTGCTTTTACCCTATACTATACAGATTTCATGGGGGAGACAAACATTTCTCAAATTGGGGGTCCTGACCCAAAAGGGAGTTGCAGGGGGGGTCGCAAGGTTATTTTAGAGGGGTTACGGTATTGCCACCCTTACTTCTGTGCTGCCTTCAGAGCTGGGCTACCAGAGAACAGCGGCTATTGGCCAGGCACCCAGCTGTGAAGGCAGTGCCCAGCCAGCAGCAGCGCAGAAGTAAGGGTGGCAATACTATACCATGCCATCCTTACTTCTGTGCTGCTGCTGGCAGCAGCTCTGCTTTCAGAGCTGGGCTCCCGGCCAGCAGCTGCCACTCTCCAGCTGCCCAGCTTTGAAGGCAGCGCTGCCGCCAGCAACAGTGCAGAAGTAAGGGTAGCAGTACCGCAACACCCCCTACAGTAACCTTGTGACCCACCCCCCTAACTTCTTTTTGGGTCAGGACCCCTACAATTACAACACCTGAAATTTCAGATTTAAATAGCTGAAATTATGAAATTTATGACCGTGAAATTGACCAAAATGGACCATGAATTAGGTAGGGCTCTAATAATAGAGTTTGAAAACTTTGGCCCATTGTCCTTTTAAAAGTGAATTTATTCTAAGCAGAATATTTACTAGTCAGGCAGATTTACTGGCTGGTTTACAGTTATTCAGTTTTTAAAGTAAAAGTGAATAACTAAAGAGTTTATCCAGAAACAAGCATATTTAGAAATTTTCCAGTACAGAAGATAGGAAAGTAGATCTTGCAGTCTTCATCCATTCTGCCCTCAGGTAAAGGTTCTCCCTGGTTGAGGGCAGATCACCCCATTGAGAAGTGCCAAATCCAGGGAAATAACCTGTTAAAAAAACAGCCACAATTGGGCAGCTTCTTGAATGGGAACCACATGCAGAAAACCATTTTCCTGTCTTCACCTTGAAACCTGTGGAGCCCCTTTCTGAGGGCTTGGGGCTTTGTGATTTCAGAGGGCATGTCATAGCGTTTCCAAGAGATGGCTGCTATTGGTGGCCTTATCCTCTCTCCATTCTAATCATGTAAAGTTTTCCATACAAGATGGTTGATACTGTCTTGTATGGAATCCCCCCTGTAATGTGCACCTCTTCTGAAGGGGGTTTTCAAACCAGGCACAGGCAAGGTCCCCATGACAGTGTGCCTCCTGAGGGAGCTGTGCTTTTGCTAGAGATAGGATAGGCAAGGAGTAGCCATGCTCTTTTTTCTCTGCCCCCTCTAGCAGCTGTCTGAATCTCTGTCTAAAAATATTTAAAAATATTAAATTGATTTAAACCATTTTATAAAAAATGAAACATCCAGTTGAGCTAACACTGTTTATACCAAGTTTCAGTCTGATGAATATAGAAACTGTGATGGATAAAGAGGGTCTGTGGTATATAAAAGCTGACTGACCCTTTATTGTAATGGTTCTAGTGGGCTCTATGTTCACTGTTCATCTCAGGGTTTAGGACTGCATGACTGGTGTTGATTGGCTGGATGTGATGAAGAGAGATAAGTACCATGCTGATGTGGCTGTTCATAGCACCACAAAACACTTCCTACAACAACTTGTTCTTAAACATCCTAAATAAAAAGTCTGGCATCTAATCTAAAGAAATGGAAAATAAAGGGAAAGCAGGGTTAAACAAGGCTGAAGTTCAAGCAAAGAAGGGGGAAGAGAAGAGCTGATAATGAAGGATGTATCAGTTAAGGGGAAAAAATAATGAAGGAAAAAACAAGACCAAAGGGACTGAAAATTGTGAGGGGCAGGTGAAAGGAAATCAGGATTGAGATGGAACAGAATTCAGTGCTCTGCAGTTTTCTTAAAATGGCCTATTCCATGCCATTTTCTAGACTAAACCCTACATTTTAAAACAGATGTCAAATATGATCTCTCCATAGCATCAAAGTCTAATGTTTGTGATAGCTAAAATAAATAGCCTCATTAGGCAGAGGCTTTTAAACAGTAACCATTCACAATATCTTATTGTCCTAGAAAGTCTTTAGCATATATATATATATATCTATATATTCTGACAATTCTTGGTGCACTTGGCCTTAATTTCATTTAACAGAAATTATTCACAGCCCTTGCAGATCAGCAAGTTTTTGATGGTTTCAGTCACTATTCCTGTACAGTTAGCCATTCTTCCTTTTTACTCATTTTGTTTCCTGATTCACATTGGGTGGTATCCACTTTACTCTATATGAATATTGTGTCCTCCTCTGCCTTGGTGGGTCCTGCGTCTATTGGCGGATTTGCTCGCCTCAGAGGTTCACGGCAGCGCTCAGTTTGGCCACTTCCGTGGCTCAAATCTTCCGTTCACTCAGTTAGCCTCATCACTGGTCAGGATGGGGAAAGGAAGAAGAACAATCCCCACAGTCTCTGCTGATGCACCTAGTGGATCAGGGAACAGGCCAGAGACCTTCACCTCCGGTGGAACTCACAGTCCAGGTCAACTCCTCCGGTATCAAGTAGGGAGTTGTGGGAATGGAGGGATGGGGGGAACCCAGGCCCATCCTCTACTCCGGGTTCCAGCCCAGGGCCCTGTGGATTGCAGCTGTCTACAGTGGCTCCTGTAACAGCTGCGTGACAGCTACAACTCCCTGGGCTACTTCCCCATGGCCTCCTCCCAACACCTTCTTTATTCTCACCACAGGACCGTCCTCCTGATGTCTGATAATGCTTGTACTTTTCAGTCTTCCAGTAGTGCACCTTCTCACTCTCAGCTTCTTGCACCTCTTGCTCCCAGCTCCTCACACACACACCACAAATTGAAGTGAGCTTTTTAAACCCAGGAGCCCTGATTAGCCTGCCTGTCTTAATTGATTCTGGCAGCTTCTTGATTGGATGCAGGTGTTCTAATTAGCCTGTCTGCCTTAATTGTTTCCAGAAAGTTTCTGATTGTTCTGGAACCTTCCCTGTTACCTGACCCAGGGAAAAGGGACCTACTTAATCTGGGGCTAATATATCTGCCTTCTAACACTCTCCTGTACCGGTGGGCCAGCCTATACCCTGGTCCCGAGGCCCGCCAGGAATATCAGTTGGCAGCTCCTTCACAGGGCCGTGAGCACGGGCATTTACTTGGCACAGTTCACCCCCATCCCAGACACCTGCCCCTTTTGCGGCGTGAGGGAGACCCTGGCACACGCTTACCTGGAGTGCACCAGGTGCAGCCCCTATTCTGGCTCCTCACAAATATTTTGTTACGTTTTTGGTTGCACTTTTCCCCTCACCACCTTATCTATGAACTCCCTATCTGTGTCCCCACAAAGTCACGGGACTTCCCTGTAAACCTCCTACCCTAGCTAAAGTGGCCACCTATAAAACCAGGGCTGCGGGGGACCCTTTAGCAGTGGGCAGGCTTCGCCCACCCACTTCCTGGATCCCAATAGGATCACTCTCCTGTAGCCATCTGGCCTGACCCCGTCACAATATGGAATACCAAACTTCATTTGCAGTTCATTATTCTAATTTTATCAAGCCCTGGTTCTGGTTTCTCACTGATTGGTATTATTTTATTATATTTGTATTTATTATCTGACATTCTTGTCTAGAGCCATAAGTGTGCTTGGCACCAGTTATTGTCCTCCCCAGCTTATACTATAGATTGTATCAAAATTTACCACAGAATTCTCTTGGCCTTTGTTATAACATTATGTTAGATTAGATTAGATTACATTTAATTTAAACTGTGAGAAAAAATATTATCATCCTGTTTTTACAGCTGTTTTATTTTACTCAATATTCTTGGCTCCCAAGAATAGTGTTATAAAAGAGGTGGATAATAAATGCTAAATCTGTTTTCATTACACTGCAGCTTTTTCCTAGTTCTTATTAAATACAAAATGATTTAACACAAAATCCACTATCTACATAACTTCACTTTAAGGCCTTGTCTGCACTACAGAGATTTGTTGACAAAAGTCATGTCGACACTCAAAAAGCACTATAATAAAAATCAGTATTGCACGTTCACACTCGCTCCCTCTGTCAGCAGAGAGTGTCCAGAGTTGGGGCACTATCATCGAAGTGTGAGCAATGTACCTATCCCACAGTCCAGCTTGACCACTTCTGCCGGTAGGTCTTGTGGGAAGGTGGAGCAGGTCACGGTGCATCTTGGGACCACGCTCAATGTTCCATGATGTATTGTTTTCTGTCCCAGCATACCATGGGCTTCCAGTTTTCTTTCACAGCATTTTTCAATGGCCCTTGTTTGCTGTGCACCCCAGCATCTTTGTGAGAAGGGATGGATCCTGCACTGCTCTCCTGCACTCTGATAACTATCATTAAGACCTTGCGGATGGCAGTGCAATTAATCACAAAGTTCCAAACTGAAGAAGATTCCCAGTTGCCTGACATGCTGTGTGATATGGATAGAAGCAACTTTAGATTGCTTTTGGCATTCACGAAACAGCTGCAGACAGTGGACCATCGCTTTTGGGCTTGGGAAACAAGCACTGAATGACGAGCAGTAGCTACAGAATTTTCAGATGTGGAAATCCACCTTCCTGGAACTGTGTGCGGAGCTCGCCCCAGCACTATGGTGCAAGGACACCAGAATGAGAGCTGCCCTATCAGTAGAGAAGTGCGTGGCAATCACTCCGTAGAAGCTGTTGACTCCAGACTGCTACTGGTCGGTCACGAATCAATTTGGAGTCGGGAAGTTGACTGTTGGGGCTGCGTTAATACAAGTGTGCAGGGCAATTAATCGCATCCTGCTATGAAGGACTGTGATTCTGGGAAATGTGTATGAAATAGTGGATGGGTTTGCAGAAATGGGTTTCCCTAACAATGGAGGGGCGATAGATGGCACACATATTCAATTTTGGCAACAGACCACCTTGCGACAGAGTACATCAATAGGAAGGGATACTTCTCCATGGGGTTGCAGGTGTTTGTGGATCACCCTGGGCATTTCACTGACATCAATGCAGGATGGTCCAGGAAGGTGCATGACGCACGCATCTTCAGGAACACCGGCCTGTATAGAAAGCTACAAATGGTGACTTTTTTTCCAGACCAGAAGATTATAGTGGGGGATGTTGAAATGCCCATAGTGATCCTGGGAGATCCATCATAGCCCTTACAGCCATGGCTCATGAAACCTTACGTGGGAAACCTGGACAGCAGTAAGGAGTGGATCAACAACAGTCTGGGTAGATGCCGGATGACAGTGGAATGTGCCTTTGGGAGATTAAAGGTGTGCTGGTGATGCCTTTATGCTAGGTTAGACCTCAATGAGGATAATATTCCTGTGGTCATAGCCTCGTGTTGTACGTTGCATAATCTTTGTGAAGGTAAGGGTGAAAGACAGGCAGACTGCTTGGCTGCTGATTTTGAGCAGCCAGATACCTGGGCTATCAGAGGGGCCAGGAGGGGAGCAATTCGAATCAGGGAGGCTTTGAGGCAAAACTTTGAAAATGAGAAGCAGTAATATATATTTCTGTGATTGGTGCTGCAATGTTACATTACATGTAGTTTTCCTAGGAAGCAATGGCGAAATTTCGGGCCTTACATTTCAGTAAGCAAATGATTAAACTGCCTGTGTATGTATTGGTAGAGCCTGCTATTTCAATTTGTAGGAAACAAATAAAGATGAGTTACCGGTCAAAAATTTTGCTTTTATTGCACAAGAAACAACACACACACACAAAGAAACTTGGTGGGAAAGGAGGTTACCAGGGAAGGGCAGACTTTCAGAGCTGTGTGTAGGTCCAGCTATCATTTTGAAAGTTGTCTGAGGGGGTGGAGTGAAGGGGAAACTGAGAAGTCCCAGAAAGCAGAAAGGACTGTGCAGGCAGAGTTGTGGGGAGGCATAGAAAAGAGTTCTGAATGTACTGCAGGGGAGGACGGGCATGCATCTGCTCAGTCTGCAGCATTATTAAGGACTTCAGCATCTGTGTTTGCTCCTCCATTACTTTAATCATCCATTCAGTAGAATCCTTAACTCCTGATTTTCTTTTCTGTTCTGCCTTTCGGCTTCCCTCCACTCCTTGCTCTCCCTTTTCTCTGCATTGGAGAAGTGCAGTACCTCCCGGAATATGTCTTCTTTGCTCTGTCTTGGGTGATTTCTTATCTATCAGAGATGCTGGGCCGATGGGCAACAAAAATGATTAGGGGTCTGGAACACATGAGTTATGAGGAGAGGCTGAGGGAGCTGGGATTGTTTAGCCTGCAGAAGAGAAGAATGAGGGGGGATTTGATAGCTGCTTTCAACTACCTGAAAGGGGGTTCCAAAGAGGATGGCTCTAGACTGTTCTCAATGGTAGCAGATGACAGAACGAGGAGTAATGGTCTCAAGTTGCAGTGGGGGAGGTTTAGATTGGATATTAGGAAAAACTTTTTCACTAAGAGGGTGGTGAAACACTGGAATGCGTTACCTAGGGAGGTGGTAGAATCTCCTTCCTTAGAGGTTTTTAAGGTCAGGCTTGACAAAGCCCTGGCTGGGATGATTTAACTGGGAATTGGTCCTGCTTCGAGCAGGGGGTTGGACTAGATGACCTTCTGGGGTCCCTTCCAACCCTTATATTCTATGATTCTATGATGTTTGTGGGGTATTCCTCAAGGCCACATCTGCCGAAGCACAAGGAATAATGCACAGAAGCATGATTGTTAAGTTCACGCACAGTATAGAAACATTTCAGTAAAATACACCTCTGGTAACATAATCACTTTCTCACTGACCCTTGGCAAGCACACATCTCAGCAAACACCCAAAGCATGGTGAGTGTTGGCTGGGGGGAGCGGCGCTCTACATGGGAAAAAGAACACTCCGCAAGGGTTGCAGTGCAGCCAACTAGGGGAAAAATTCTAAAATTCTCCCACACTTTCCCACAGGCCAGGGTCATTGTAGTAGATATCTCACTGTTGAGGGTAAGCAGAGAAGCGAGTGTACATCTACTACATGCTTGTGGCTTCCGCCATGGTTCCTGTGCTGCTTGCCTGTGTGCCGCTTTGGTCCCTGAACAAGTGATTGCCAAATGGTGTGGGAAAGTTCCCTACAGTGGGGGAAGGAACAAAGCAGCTCTGCCAAGGAACCTGCGGCAGAGGATTGACAAGTACCTCCAGGAAACTTTCCTAGAAATCTCTCTGGAGGATTCCCATGAGATCCCAGCATACATCAACACCCTGTTCCACCGTACTGATTAGCTGCACAGCGAAGTGTACAGCACACAGAAATACAGCCATCCTTGTACATTTCTATATCCTGAACCCACCTCTGCATTACGCAAACCACAGCCACTTACCAGGCATCTCCTCTCCTGCTTCTTGCTCACCAGAGAGCAACTGCTGAGACTGGCTAGACACCGCTGGAGTGGTGAACAGTTCCTGGCTGCCTCCCCCACTGGGAGATCCAGCCAGGAGCTCCACATCATTGTATAACTCCACCTCTTCATCAATGACTTTGTCCTCTGGGTTAGGTCCTCTTTCCGCCACCTCCAGGCCCACCAAACTATCCATGGAGCTCCTGGCGATGGAGGTGGTGTCACAACCGAGGTAGTGTCCAGCTCCTTATAGAACAGGCAGGTCTTAGGTGCAGTACCAGAGCAACGGTTTCCCCCCCTCGCCTTATGGTACACCTGCCTCAGCTCCTTTATCTTCGCTCTGCACTGCAGCACGTCCCGGTCACAGCCCTTTCCGAACAAGCCTTGAGAAATCTGCCCATAGGTATCAAAATTCCTATGGCTCAAGTGCAGCTGGGAGTCCATAGCCTCCTCTTCGCATATACTAGGCAGGTCCAGCAGCTCCGCAGTGGTCCAAGTGGGAAAGCATTTGCTGCAATAAGCCTCCATGGTCACCTTGGAAGATGCAATGAGACCTATCGACACCGAGTAAACAGGAAATGGAATTTCAAACATTCCCAGGGCATCTAACGGGGAGGGTCGGATGGTTGTTTACTTGACTGCAGTGCAGTGGAGTTCAAACTGCTGATTAGATGTTGTTGGGATGGGTGTTGTGGGACACCTTCTGGAGGCCAATTAAAGTGATAAAATCAAGCGTGGTGTCTACACTGGCACTTCGTTGACAAACATTTTGCAGAAAAAGACGTATGTCTCTCGTCAGAGTGGTTTTATTTCGTTACCAAAACGGCATTTTTGCCTCCAAAAGTTGCATCGCAGTGTGCACCCATTCACTGTTTTGTCGGCAAAAGCTGCCTTTTGTTGACATAACTCTGTAGTATAGACAAGGCCTAAATCTCACATATGTGAATAAATTATAGTTTTCTCCAAAAGTTAACTTTATGCACTTCTTTCTAGGATCGTCCAGCCATGCAGTTATACCAGCCAGGAGCTCGCATTCGAACACATACGGGATCTACAAGTAAGATCTATGACTGCAGTGGGAAGTCCTGTGAAGATGCCTGCGATAGAAAGTATGAGGTAGATAATTCAACTGGAGGTGGTTCTGAGAAGAGTGAAGAGGCAGAATGAAACGTCAGGGGTAGAAAACTTGTGAAAAAAATTAATTTAAGATTTAATTTCTGCACAAAATATATCAGGCCACTTCAGAATTCCACAGATTGGACCAACAAAACTATAATACATCTGCCTCTTTCTTTCTTTCTTTAAAATGAAAATGGTGATCGGAGGCAGATAAAATATCACATAAAGGAAATTCAGTTGCTTTTTTACAAAAACAGAAGCAAGCAGTGTTTGACTAGTTTAGTAGTGGTTCAGTATTTTCGTAAATTTACCTTTAGCTAGAAAACCTCTATTAGTTTTAAGCTAGTATTTATATAAAACTTGTTAGAAAATATTTCACTTAGTCTAGCCTGTTAAATTGATAGAAATAAAGAAATGTATATTTGCATCAGTTTGATATCTCAGGCACTTTAAATGTGTTCTGTGAATGGCATTAACTACATAGGACCCAATCCTGCAAACACCAGGATTTTGTTGCCAGTAGTGTTTACAGGATCAGGCCCATAGTTTGCAAATGTTTATTGATATCCGTACCTCATTGTGTTTACATTGTTTTTCAATTTAACTATAGTGTCAGGTAAGTGTGAGTAAAAGCTACTATATGTTGTTATAAAATTGGTCATTCTCTTAACCACTTTTGCCTTTTATGTTCTAATATATTCCTGTGTTTAAAACAGAAAAAGCTAATGCAAACCTCAGCACTTAAATACTGTATCTGGTTTAACTAAAATTGCAGTTTTTGTTTGTTTGTTTGTTTGTTTGTTTGTTTTGGTACTGACTTTTAAAAAAGTGATTGTACAGTGATGACTTTTTATATGTTAAATGTTTCACATAAGTTGCATTTGCAGGATTTGGAACATGTATGATATATATGTTATAAAATACAATTTGTTTGAAAAAAACACACACACAGCAGCTCCAACATTTCATTTTGGAGACCTAGGCCAAATTCCACCCTCTGATGCATGCGTATGGCTCCCAATATCTTCAGAGACAGCTACATGTCCATGTAAGGGCAAAATATGGCTCTTTGATAGTTGTCTTTTACGACTGATGCACTTTTCAGTTATCTGAAACTAAGATCTGCTTTGTCAGTGAAGTTAAATATTAAGATGTTTGTTTATTTTTGACATTCTACTTTGAACAGTTTGTTATTAAGTGTAACATCTGATTGTTCTAAACTCAAAAAAAAATTTGTTGTATTTTCCCAGACATTAAACATTAAATATAATAAAAAGTAAAAACATTTTGATTATGAACTGAGAAATTATCTTCCACAATTCTTTTGCCTAGTACACCAAAGGTATTAAGAAAGATAGTATACAACTTATTAGTATTAAAAGGCAAATTAAAAATATAATTGAAGAGTTTTAATATTAAGTTTACATATAAGATGTTTTATATGCAAGAGGATTAAGCATTTTTTACCGACTTAAACTACTTTGAAGTAGGACACTCTTAATCTTAAATAAGACTGTAATCACAGGATGGGCTGAGTTGGGCTCTATCCCACCTATGCTGGGCTTGGGCTGGTGTTTGGGTCAGGTGACCAGGATCACGTGACAGTATCCCAAGAATGGAGCTTCCTATTATGGGAGCCTATGTAGCGTGAAGGGAGAGACTTGCAGGGAGCAGGAATACTGGCTACAGTAGAGCCAGATCAGTGTCAGAAAATGCTAGGCAGTTCTCCACAGTTTTGCTGGACTCTTTGTTAACTCTGAAAAGAATGTACTGGAATGACTTAGCCAGAGGGCATATCACCTCAGTGACCCAATAGCTCTGGGTTGCTGGACCGTATGAGGGAGACAGTGAGTTGATCAGGGTAGGGAAACTGAGGCAAACAGATGCCTAGAATCCAAGGGAGGTGAAGTGATCTTGTCATAACTGTACACACACAAATTTACACCAAAATAAGGAGAGGTGTCAATTCAAACCAAGTTAGTCATTTAGGTGCATCTTTATATGTAGGTAAACCACAAGTCTTTGTAGGATCAGGGCCCAGATGAGACCAAATATTTCCAGCCTCTTTGAATTATAGGAGGTGGTGACCAGAGCCCATAAGACTAAAGGCCAACCCCCTTGGATGTGGGACAGGCCACAAGATCCAGAATGCAGGTGGTTCTTCTTCAAGATATGTTGTCCATATACTATCCAGACTTGATGCCATGTGTCCCGTGCAGTTGTGTTCAGAATCTTTTGGCCAGCAGCACCTGTTGGGGCCACACATGCACCCTGAATGTGCTTGTGTTCCCCTTCCTGAGATCATATAGCTTAGCGTGGTACTGAGCTAACCTCAGTTCCTTTTCACTGCCTGTGACTGCGAGGCAAAACCAAGAGCAGTGTACTTGTCTGTTGTTCACTTGCGATTACAAAACTGATATCACCATAGATAGTTAGCTGTTCAGTATAGATGTAGTATAGTTTAGAAACAGTTTTTTATTAGGTTTCCATTCCAGATAGTTTTATCTCTGTCTTTTAGTTAGGCTGCAGTCCTTATGGCTGAGCAAAAATCACCAGGGTTCAAATATTGCCTTTTGGGAGAGGTGGCTTACCCCCCCTCAACAACAGGCATACTAGATTCTGTTTGGGTGGGAGCATATTACTGACAAACGCTTCGTTTATCTGTCTTTTTCTAAAAGAACCTGAAAAGCGAGGGAGACTCATTTAAAGCTTTACTCGTAGACAAATATATAAGGCCAACCTCAGACCAGGGTAAACAAGATCTGCCTGGGTCTGAACACTCTGCTCCCAGAAGTGCTCTGGTGATGGTGAATGCCACAAGCTCCTCCACAGCCCCAGCTCCTGAGAAGCACACCTCTGCTGCCACTTCTAAGTCTTCTCAGCCATGACGGGCAGAACACAGCACCACTCTTTTAAAGAGTAGGACAGGCGCTGTCTGAGGAACCTGTAAAAAGGAAGAGACATAGTCTGTGTGTACACTTTCACTTTTGTTGGTGTCACTCAGGGGTGTGACTCCCCCGAGCGACATAAGTTACACTGACAGAAGCACCAGTGTGGACAGCGCTGTTGGCAGGAGACATAGCTACCGCCGCTTGTTGGTGACGGTTTAATTAGGTCGACAGGAGAGCTCTCTCCCATCGGCATAGAGCAGCTACATGGGAGATCTTGCAGTGGCACAACTGCATCAGTACAGCTGTGCCAGTGAAAGGTCCCTAGTGTAGACATGGCCATAGATCTCATGCCTCCTCTCACAAGGGTAGAACGAGGTCTGACTTAAGTCCCTCTGGCACTCATAAACATTATGGTTTCTGTACACCGGTACCAGCCAGGGAGCACCTTCATGCAGTCTCCACTACTGTTTCTGCAGTGCTGTCTCCAGGGCACTCAGTACTGATGCTGAGGCTTCCTGCTTTGGTTCCAATAACCTTGGTACCAACCTCCTTGGCATAGTCTATTCTGGTACTGACTACCTAAAAAAACATCTGCTTAGGATACCAACAGTCTCAATGCTGAGATTCACAGCATGAGGAGATGGAGTGGTAACCACTTTCCCTGAGTCAGTGCTCTTATCATTAGGGCTCTGTGTCTGTCACAGAGGTCATGGATTTTGTGACTTTCCGTGACCGCTGTGACTTCTGCAGCTGCCCCCAAGCAGCTGGCCCCGGGAACAGCTACTGGCCGCTGCTGGAGCAGCTCCGCAGTCAGCTGCATGAGCCAGTGCAGCTGCTTCTGGGGACCCCCCGGTCAGTGGTCCTGGGTGGCTGGAGCAGCCATTGCTGAGTGGCTGCCAGCAGCAGTCCCGGGGCAGCTGGAGCAGCAGCAGGTGGGCGGCACCAGGGGCAGCCGGAGCAGCTGCTGCTCTGCAGCCTGCGCACCTGGTACTGCTGGCGCCGGGCCGCCCCGCAAGCAGTGGCTTCCGGGGCTCACCTCCCGAGCAGCAGCAGTGGCCCTCCTGGGTTCCCCACACAGCAGTGCCTCCCCCAGCTAAGATTTAGTCGGGGGTATAAGTCACGGCCAGGCCATGAATTTTTGTTTATTGCCCGTGACCTGTCCATGACTTTTACTAAAAACACTCATGACTAAATCGTAGCCTTAGTTATCATCATCAGTAAACATCCCCACAGCAGTACCAGCTGTGGATATTTCTTCAGCACCAAGTGTATCTGTGGTACTGATAAAGGATTTCCCAGATCAAGTCAGGACTCCAACTAAATTGGCACTTCCACTGGAGGAGCAGTAGATCTCTCTGGGGGAGATTCACCTTCTGTCTCCCTGAGGCCCCCCACCCCCTATGATCTGTATATACCCAACAGAGAATCCAGAGTTCATGGTCACTATAGCAAATATAGGGTAGATAGAGTGAGACATCCTTCTGGTACCCTCCCCTTGTCCCCCAACTCATGTTGCTTACAGCCCTCATTCATGGCCATACTGGGCACTAAGGGGCTTTCATCAGGGGTCCTCTAGTCCTAAATCCCCTATCCCAGTAGTGTCTGTGAGAGACCAATAGCAGCAGCCATCCTAGGGAGCAACTGGGGATCCTCAACAGTTGCAAGTTGCTAAGGAACTCCACCAGCCAACTGATATTGCTCCTGCTGCCATTTTGTCATCTTCATCTGACAACGCTGTGGTCCTACCTGCTCCATAACACTCAGACAACTACAAGACTTTTTAAGACCTCTATCGAATGGCAGTGACATAAGTGATTCCAACTGAGGTTGTGCAGGAGAAGTCTCACACAAATTGTTAAGACATCTTGCACACAACCAGTAAATAAGGGACTCTTAGAACCTCTTCAGCTCCTCTGGCAGACACGTCTAGTCATCCAGCATCTAAAAAGGCAGACAGAAGGAACCAGGTGCCATCTGCATGATGTGAGTATGTGTATACTCATCCCACATCTGGATTCCTTGTTTTAACCACAGCTCAGGAGAGAACAAAACAGCAAAGCTCTAGGACAACACCTAAAGAAAAAGAGCCCAATATTTGGATCTTTTGTGAAGAAAGAGATACTCCTCTGTCCAGTTTAGGATTGCTAATTAACAACCACTCCTTGCCAAATATGACTACATAAATTGGCATAAGGTGTCGGAGTTCACAAACAAATTACCCCATGTTGGGCCTCCTTGCAAGCAGCGATTGAAGTATCAGATACTGCAGCAAGGTCAATGGCAACAGCAGTTACCATGAGCCAGGCACCGTGGTTGCAATCCTTGGGGATCCAGAAGGAAGTACAAACTGCTACAGAGGATCTCCCTTTTGAGAGTTGGGATCTCCTCAGCAGTAAGACAGATGATGCATGAAATTTTTTATAGGACTCACAAGCTACCCTAAGGTACCTGGGTCTTAATATGCCACCACCCAGAAGAAAGCCGCTTAAACAACACTATACAATGCAGCCTTCTTCAGCCTTTTTCTATTCTCCAGACCACAAGCCATGGGAACCACTCAGGAAGAAACAAAGATTGTACAGGAGACAACCTTCCACTTTCTCTTCCTCTGCAACAGTGAGATCAATACCTACATCCAGACAGATGGTTTAATGCTTTAGTCAAGAACTCCTTGAAACCATATCCAGATTATCTTCACTCATTCCCCACTCCATTTGGGGATCATTTAATTTCAAGTTGTGTGGACCAATCTCACTGTATACTTCGGAGAAGCACCCTAAAACCCCCATATTCCTCATTTATATATCGTGATCTTGCATATATAGCATGCCATATAAGGTATTAGGGGAAGGTTATGATCTGCTGAAAATCACTGTTCTGTCTAAATATGTATATCATTAGTGCATATGAAGTTATGAGATTGTGTTGTATGGCTGTCACTAAAACATGCTGTAAGTTGGGGAATTGGCCAGATATTAGCTCCCCAGAGACAACAGGAAGGAAAGCAACCAATGCCTGGGCGGGTTTTGAACAACCATCAACAGCCATTGTCCATCAAGAGAGGTACAATACAATGACTCACTTGCACAAGGCCACACCAGGGGAATTGCTCAACCTTGCCTGGGGACTCAGCAATGCCCACCAGACATGCCTGGACTTGTGTTCTCCAGGTACATGGGACTAAAGGTATAAAACAGAACACAGTGGCCCCATGCTTGGCCTTTTCTCCTCTCCCCACCTACGCTGCAAGCAACAAGGACACTCACTCAGAAGACTGAAGATTCCAACAGAGGAGACTGGACCAGGTTTCAAGGATGAAACCTGTATACTATGAACTACAATATCCAGTGGGATGAGAAAAACTGCTTAATCTAGATGTTGCTCAATCTAATAGGGTTGAGAGTTTA